TGCCCAATAGACATGTCCCTAGCGAACACTTTGGAGCCTTGGTTCCGCTCTATCGCTTCTTTAAAACCCTATTGGCGTTAAAGTTGCGGATATCGTGTCGCATGGACTTCCATATTTGTCTATTGAGCTGCCGATGTGCTTTAGCATCGGCAGAGGTAATAACTATTGTAGCACCTGTATTAGCTCAAATCTTTAATAACTGTATTGACTGTGGTGTGTTTCCTGATCTTATGAAATGTAGTAAAATCATTCCATTATTTAAATCAGGTAGTACTTCTGACCCCACTAACTTTAGACCGATTTCAGTGCTACCTACGTTCAGTAAAATTTTTGAAAAAATTATTTTAGATCAAATGCAAAGATTTTTTAATAGAAATTAATTATTACATGCGAAACAGTTCGGATTTACAAGGGGTCGTTCAACAACTGATGCCGGTGTTGAACTTCTTAATCACATTTACGACGCGTGGGAGGACTCAAGCGACGCTTTGGGAATATTTTGTGATTTATCCAAGGCGTTCGATTGTGTGCTTCATGATACATTGATCAGGAAGCTATCCCATTACGGAATAAGAGGTGCATCTCTGGACCTTCTTACCTCATACCTGAGTAATAGGGTTTAGAGAGTTGAAGTAAACGGAGTGGTTTCTGCCGGATCTGTTGTGAGGATGGGTGTTCCGCAGGGTTCTATTCTCGGCCCGTTTTTATTTCTTATCTATATTAATGACTTGCCTTACCTTGTAAGGGATAAACACGAGATAGTGCTGTTTGCTGATGATACCTCACTATTATTCAAACTCAGACGAAGACAATTAGTTATTGACAATGTAAACAGTGCTCTCTCAGAAATAGTTCACTGGTTTGGTGTTAATAACTTATTACTAAACGAAACTAAAACTAAATGTATTAAATTCACAACACCAAATGTTAAACAGGTAAAAACCAGTGTGCTTGTCAAGGGCGAGGAGTTGAGTCCTGTAGATACAACTGTCTTTTTAGGTATAACCCTGGACGCTAAGCTCCAGTGGGGCCCACATATAGATGGCTTGTCGAAGAAGCTCAGTTCTGCAGCATATGCCGTTAAAAAAATTAGAAATTTAACAGATGTAGATACAGCGCGGCTATTTTATTTTAGTTATTTCCACAGCATCATGTAATACGGTATTTTGTTGTGGGGGAATGCTGCTGACATTCAGTCTATTTTTGTTCTGCAGAAAAGGGCTATTCGATCAATCTATAATCTTAGTCCGAGGCATTCGCTCAGAGAATTATTTAAGGAAACTAAGATAATGACGGTTGCCTCACAATATATTTATGAAAATGTAATTCACGCTCATAAAAACAAAAGCTTATTTAAGAAGCATAGTGATATACATAATATAAACACGAGGGGGAAAAACAAATATGTTGTCCCCGCCTCCAGGCTTCAGAAAATAAGTAGTTCGATAGGCGACAATAAAATTCCTAGGGATATTCAAAATTTAAGCCTCAATAATTTTAAAAGTGTAATAAAGGCTAAACTTTACTGTAAGGCATTTTATAAAATAAAAGACTACTTAGAAGATAGTCAGGCTTGGGAATGAGCCGCTGTAACTTCTGCACAGGTCATGTTGACATGCTTGTAACATAAGTTACGCTTTTTATATACAATTTGACATTACGTTTATTTTATTTTTTTTACAATGACATTATCACCTATCGTGACATTTTTATTTTTATTTGACATTTTTTATTTTATTTATTATTTTTATAATTATTTATTGACATTATTATTATTTTCTATTATTGTTAGTGTAAGGACCGTGTGAGACTTGCCGCGCTTTTGGACTACCAGTTATCTGCGTTCTGACAGTTTGAGTACTTGCGCGACCTAACCAAATGTTCTTTAGATCGGTATTGTTCGTCGGACAACTCAGCAGCACTTGCTATGCTGGTTGCAAACTGACACTTGCGTGCCTGTCTTCAGAACGGGTCCACTTAAACTGGTGTGGTTCTTTCATCAAAAGACCACTACAGAATCAACTTGCAAAGTTCTCTCACATTATGTTATTTTTACATTGTCTGGACTTGAAAAGAGACTGACCTCTGAGTTTGTTTCGGCATTTCTTCTCAGAGTAGTCAGATAGGAAATGCCGGCTTCATCTAGTTTTTTACATATAAATTGACGTGTAAAAGTGCCGTTTTATGGCCTATTTGCAAAAATAAATTCATTGTTTCATTGTTTCATTGATAATACCTATTAAAAATAAAATGGAATTATTATCTTTCGTTTTAGAAATTACTGCCTGCTAAGTGCATAATTATTAACAGGAACGAATTTAAGAGACGACCATTACAAATATTGCATGGTACGTGTAATATGCATAACCTATGTTCCCAATCGAAGACTACTTTGCAGCGACGTTGAAGCCTCGATAAAGGTGTAAAGAATTAAAAAATATTTGTTGCGCAATCAATGTGATATGGAGCTCTGCGGTAGCTGTAGTAGAGCCAAGCTTTGGCACGAATGGGTCTGCTCGACCAGAGTGATACCAATGCCTTACAGAAAACCGGCGTGAAACAACCACAGCGTTGTGTTTCGCTATGTGAGTGAGGTTACTGGAGGCCCAATGCTCCCCCCCCCCCCCCCCCATCCATAAGGTAGGTAAAAAAACATTTACATATATATTTATATTAAACCATTTTTTATGTTATATGACTATGATATTGGTACAAATATTAAATTTATATGTTTGTGGTAAGTTCTCCGATAAGTTTGCACTCAAATATTCTTTGATCGTTTGGTTACTAGGCACCCGTGTGCCACCTCGGTAGCATAAAAAACTTGTCAACTTTATTATATTTGTGTATATAAGTCACAAAATAATGGCTAATAGATACAACGGTATTCGAGATAAAACATTTAAAGATCTGTGAATTTATTAATAAAGCTTTCCAAATAAACACTAGAGTGTGAGATTTTTTTATGTTATAAAGGAATATAACGGATTTCTATTGTTATGCCATGTCATTGGATGTTTTTTCTTTCGTATTTTACTTATTCAATGATAGACTTAATTAACTAAGTACATAAGGCTTCTTTTTCTTATATCTTGTATAATGATTTTCAATCTAGCAAAAAGTCTGAATTAAAATCTGGAATTACTTTTAAAGACTTGCTTTAAACGTTATCATCGACATCTGGAAAAGAAAATACTCATATTTTAAAGTTTCTGGTGTAAATGGGCAACATTGATTTCCTAAAATCAGGCGATGCATCTACTCCTTTATCCACTATGCCACAAATGCGTTTACTGCTGTGCACAATGGGACTGATATCTAAATAAGTTATTTCTTTTGAGTTTTCTGAGCACGTTTTCACTATTAATCTTTCTAGTATACTCATCGGGACAACTTTTTTAGTGACACCAGCCACTTTGTCGAAATAGTTCACTTTTTGACATTAGTTTCTAAACTCGAAACTTGACAAGTACCAGTATGTCATTTTTTGAGTTATATGATCTTTTTAACGTTGCCCCACAGTAGGATTTTCTCCTGTGTCGTGGGTGCGGTTACAAACATACAATTTCACATGCACATTATACCCAGACCCGGAACAACAATTTGTGGATCACACATAGAGTTGTTCCGTGCGGAAATCGAACTCGCGACACGTTGCACGGCAGCCAGTTGCCCAGCCACCAAACCAACCGTGCAGGTACCATTGACTAACAGAGTAAATCATTTGGAGGTAACCTGGACTCATGATTTCTAATAATTCTAAGTTTGAATTCGCCAATACGCCTTGAGCAAGAGTGATTAATAATGCTCAAACCTTATCCGTGTTAGAAGAACCTTTTGCATTAGTAGGAAAGGAATTTAATACACATATTCTTTTCCTTAGCAACTTAACAACTAGTTCACCAGTAAGTAGTCTAGTTCTATACATATAAAATAACGGAACATATCACTGGGAGAACAAGGTAATCCTAAGTCCAGTTGTCATGTCCGAGGTCAGGTCACGAACATTGTGCCATTAAACCGGTGATTTTGCTGTCAACAACCTTACAATGTCAATAACAGATATAATTATATAATAGCAAATGTTACATACAGTTACACAAAAAAAGAACTGTTCTACTTGAAAATATAGCTAGCCATTCTTAGTCAGCTATCTGTACCGAGATCGCACGGGTGCAATTCTAAGACTAAATTTCTCTACTTATTTAAGGATTTTTATTGTACGTATAAACATTTCTAGTCAAGCAATCAATCTATTAAAAAACTGTATCAAAAACCGTTGCGCAGTTTTAAAGATTTAATAATACAAAGGGATATAGAGACAAAGAACGTGGCTTTGTGTTATGCTATGTAGTGATATTAGGCTGGCTTTGTGTTCTGGGTTGTCCCTATTCAACAATAAGGCATAGTATAAACAAATAGTCGTTGCTGGTGCAAGCTAAATGTGGGAGAGCCATACTTCGACACACATTGACCAGCTCGTCCAAAGTGATACTACGGCCTTACAAAAAACCGGCGTGAAACAACTGTGTCTACACTAGTAACTCTTGGAATAATGATAAAACCGTCTTTTTAATATTATTAGTCAATTTTGTTAATTATAAAATTTAATATGGATCTAATTATTTAAACTTACACTTAAAATTTTGGCAACAACAAAAAATAGCATTGACACTTTTCCATTCTTTATTCTTGATCACAATTAATGACTACCTACCGTTATTTTCATAGTAACAACATTTTATTTTATTTATGTATAACACTTAATTCATAAACAGACTTTAATTTATAACCTATTTGATTCAGGATGGAAACAAATGAGCGTGATATAAACTTGTGACAATAATATTAGTAAATTTTTTTGTATAAGTTAGCTAAAACACACAAAATAAATGTATACAAAAAATCTGTAGTAGATATTTAAGGGGTTCCTTCGTAATATTCTATTTATTTGTTTATTACCCAGAGTAAAAATTTTTTTAGGGACACAGTGGCTAGTAAGTATAACTGTACACCTGACCTGGTAAGCACTTGGTATCGCTTAATGACCAGAGAGTAGTTACTAATGTTGCTACCTCAAGATTTGTCTGGGTGTCATTCATTTTTGATTCTGATCTGATTTTTTTTTTGCTGCCCCACACTAGATTTTTCTTCCGTGTTGTGGAACATACCCGGAACAACAATTTATGGATCGCACAAAGAGTGCGATCTGTGCGGATGTCGAACCCGCCCACGTTGCAAAGCAGCCACGTTGCCCAGCCAACATTTTACATTATATGCACATTTCTCGTTTACTCAGAGCTAAATATGATATTCGCTCATCTGTCACCATCCGTAAAACATAACTTTCTTCCATAAACTCAGCTCAAGGTTTCGAATTAGGACTAGCCTTAGCAATGGCTATAGCAATAGCATCTCCATTCACACTCTTAGCGTTACTCAAAGATGATGAAGTTCCGTCTCCCTGACAAGTTGGACAAGGCTTGTCTTTGGATGAATCATCAGTGAAGTCTTCGAAGCGGTCGTGATGATGGTGATGGTGTGGCCAGAATGGTGGTGGTCCTGGAGGCGGTGGGGGTGGCCAGTAAGGTGGTGGTGGCGGCGGCGGCGGAGGAGGCGGTGGCCAGTACCTTGGCCTGTATTCGTAGTTGTCACAGGAGTTTGGAGAGCGCTTCAGCCGATTTATAAGGGTGGTGTCTGTCGCTGGAATTAAATAAAGGATTTTTTTAGAGATGTGGAGCTACATGTGATTTACAATTCAGGTTAAAATTTGCATTGCATAAAACTTGATACACTTCTTATAAATACTAGAGTCCTATTACCATGTCAGTCATAAGTTAGAATATAAAATCCTTTTAAGCTCTGAAACTAAAATTAATTTTTAGAAGACATCGATGAGAATTAATCCAAATTAAGTTAAATAAAAAATCAACGTGACTGAATCTATCAATTGTTTACCAAGCAAACACGAAGTACCTAAATATCATGTACATATCCAAACTTAACTTACGTTTAACATCACCGGCAGCGAATTGTATCAAAACAGTCGCCACTAACAATACACCTATCCGCCACATTTTCTCGTTCCACTCTGAAATAAGTTCCAAATAGGCACCACATCTATATACTCTCGGTAGTTAAATAACAAATAAATGCTTCCAATATTACTAAGAAAAGTCATTTTCACAACTTATCCTTAATTGATTGTGACAACGATCTAGTTGGTGCGAAAACCTGGTGTGGGTGAATCCCTGCTATATTTGGCTTAGGATGTTTATACACGACAAGTGATGTTTAATAGTCCGGGTTCAGTATATTTTTTTTTTTATTTATTTATTTAAGTCAGCCATCTGAGGCCCGTAGAGAATACAATACATAAATATATTATAACATTAAATCATAAACTAATACATATGTTACATAAAAAGTACAACACACTGTTCTCACATAATGTAACCGACTAAATAATGTTACAATTAAAGTTTTGAATTGTGAAACTGATTGAAAAAGAGTAACCATGAAGTTACTTGCTCATTCTTTGCCATAGATATCTACACTTTGGAACGATTATCAAGATTCACTTTAAAAGGACAGACCGACAGATTAACACTTTCAAATTTTGATAATAATAATTATTATAGTTCCGGGGGCCCATTAATTGAGTTTGCCAGTCACCCCCTGCCTATTTATCCGTATGTATCAATATTGGTCAGGGCAGGGGCCAAAGTATAGGTATTTCCATAGTTATCATTTTCACCAGTCCATAGCAACCCATACCCATAACCCTATATTTTTTTATAACATTTCGCAATAGTCCTCCATCAACCGGGGATTGTCCTTGGGTGCACTTTCATAGTGCATACAGGGATAATTGCCGGCTGATGTCCCATTTCATTTATATTAAAGTTGTTTAACGGGCCTCTGCGTGTTGGCTTCGGCCCCTCGTACGCCTTCCAAAGGTCCGGGACCCTGTGGTCCCGTTAAAGGAAAGAACATTATCACAGCGTTTAAAAGTGATAGGCACTTTAAGTGGTCTATTTCAAATAAATGATATTTGAAATAGACCACTAAAAGACCGATACTATTGAGCTATGAGCCTTTGTCAGAAAAGAGAATTTGTAATAGTCTCGTTTCTAGGAGCTCGTGTTAGATCGTTGAAGGGTTTAGTTTTACTAGAGAGCGAGGTTTCGTAGTCTCTGTCTGTTTGTCTTACGTCTTCGACAGCAACCGTAGGTAGGAAGTGTAAAGTGTTTTTTTGTTAATTGAATAAGACAATAAATTACTCACGCGTATTAATTAAGAAAAGATCAACTAGTTTTAAGACAAGTTAATGACAGGACTGTTATTCATAAGCAGGAAGCGACTATTCAAAAAGTTACAATTCAAAATTTAGTTTTTTGTGATACAACAACAAGACTTATCTCAAAATACTGTTCATTTCGCTAACCATATTTAATATTTACTGCACGGTTGGTGCGGTACAACGTGTCGCGGGTTCGATTCCCGCACGGAAGAACTCTTTGTGTGATCCACGAATTGTTGTTGTCTGGGTGTCATGTGTATGTGAAATTGTATGTTTGTAACCACACCCACGACACAGGAGAAAATCCTAGTGTGAGGCAACGTTGATGTAAAAAAAAACACAACAAAACAATATTATTAAAAAGGTTCCGTTTGATAGTTTGTAACGAACCTTAATGTATCTTAACATTGTTGTTTGTAAGTTTCCATTCACGTGTGGTTTTGATGACGCAACTTTGATTTGGATCAATTTTCGCGATCATGTTTATAGATGCAGCAGTTTGCCTTCAACTAATGTTTTAATATCCTGGTGGCTTTTTCAACTGCCTTATTGGTCCAGTAGTCGCATGTGTCACTGCTGACCAAGGGTTTTTTGGTGGATTCCCTGTTTAGTCAAACAAAGGTTTAGCTTCTTTCGGTTTTCTTTAGTAATAACACGATTTTTGTAAGTATGGTAATAGGCTTACCCTCTATGACATTGGTCTCGTAATATAAGTGAAGAAAAGTTATTTATTTTATTTAAGAAACACTGCTCCACACAAAAAATTTCTTTTGTGACGTTGGTGCGTTTACAGACATACAAATTCACATCACATCCGGACCCGGAACAACAATTTGTGGATCACCATCGAACCCCAATACGGCACACACACAGCAGTTAGTAGCCCAGCCACTGGGCTAACCGTAACACTTGGTACGTGTTGAAAGTGTGGGAGATCCATGCTTTGGCACGAATGGGTCGGCTCGACAGGAGTGATTCATATCACTCCTGTCGCGTGTGTCTGAGGCCGTGGTCATCCACTGCCTCACAGAAAAAAGGCGTGAATTAACCACAGCGTTTTGTTTCTCCGTGTGAGTGAGCATACCGGAGGCCCAATTCTTCCCCTCCCCCAATCCCAAAATATCCAAATCCCCAAAAGGTCGGCAACGCACCCGTAACTCTATCGATGTTGCCATCAGGTAATTCGTATGCTCGTTTGCCGAGATATAACAAATAAAATGTGTGTGTGTTTGTGTGATTTAAAAATAATTGAGATAGACCTCTGAGTTTGTTTCAGCATTTCTTCTCAAAGAAGTTAAGATTGGAAATGCTTCATCTAGTTTTTTTTCGAGATTTATGACTATGACGTGTAAACACGCTGTTTAATGACATATTTGCTAAAATAAATTCAATATTCCATGTTTGTTCCACCTCTGGATGTTAAGTTGGTATGAATTTGTCCGTTTCCTAACGCCCCTACAACTCAGAGAAAATTTTAAACAGTGACGTTATTAATAAAAAAAAAAAAATCATGTCATTTATCGTGTGAAATATTTAATGATGTGATTGGTTTTTGGTTTCAAATAGCGTCGACTATTTCAATAAAAATGGGACAGTATACCGCCATCTATTGTGTTCCGGCTGCAGTTCTAAGTAGTGATGATGTCGCAAAATCAAGAATTCTATAGTTCGGTGAAATTGGTGAAGGGGGCGCAGTTGCGTTCTAGCGTCATACAACGTATAGTACCTGTACTATCGATATCGATGTCTTTTATTATGGACATGGTGTTACTACTGACCGACTTGAAGCCTTCATTGATTTCCCTTCCTATGTATGGGTGCACCACAAGTTTATTGCAATAGTTATTTGTCGATAGGTATTCGCCTCCAGTTTTTTCATCAGAGCTATTAAGAAGTGAAATTCTTTGCCGAAGCCTTGGATGTTTTCAAGGCCGGTTGCCAATAGGTAAGGATTCATCCAAAAACCAAAAAAATATTTAGCACTTTGCGCGGTCCAGGAATCAAAAAATTTTTAAGTTAAAATTCTCCTAAAAAAACTTATCTGAATGCGTTGTTCTGTCAGTGTTTGTATAAACGCATTACAGGCAATCGTTCAACTTTGACACTGAATGCCATTCATTTTCAGTAATTGTTAACAAATAATTTAAAAAGAATCATTACTTTTCAAATAATATGATACATAACTGTTATTTTTAAAGATAGTCCTACTTCAAACTTAAAATGAAATAGCTCAAGGAATCTTCAGTCTCAGTCTATAGAGACTATTTCTTCGTCGTGATATTTGTATTTCTGTATTCGGGCTGGAGAAACTAAATAAAGCTAAATAATGATATGAAAACCATAGGCAAGGTGAAAAGAAATAAAAACTAAATAGAAATAAAACGTATTATCTTTATTACAATAACTATACATATACAAGCTATTTATTTAAAAAAAGTTTAAATAAGCCTAGGATCAGGTACATTAACATTTAACCGCTTACGGAAAGAGCTATGGCATTGCCGTTTCTGCTCTTAGCATTACTTAAAGCGTAATTGCTTTTTCCACAAGTACTGCATCCAGCTGGCTGCTGGGCCGCTGTCTGTAGACCCTGATTGGCCAATTCAAGAGCTCCTTTAAGAGCTGATTGAGAACCAGAATAACCAGAGCCATAGCCACTTGATCCACCAGCACCGCTGACACCAAACCCAGTGGAACCACCAACACCTAGTCCAGCAGAAATTCCTGCACCCTCCCCGTAACCTCCACTTCCTCCAGAACTAGAACTTCCACTGGAACTAGCACCGGAAGCATCAAAACCTCCAGAAGATTGGCCATTTCCAAAAGATCCACCATTTTGGCTGCCTACTTGTTCAACTTGATGGGCTTCTAATTTTCCACTTACACCACCGTCAAAGCCACCATTGCCCGCTGATTGCTGTTCGTTGCTGAATCCTCTGCCTTGTGACTGTGATTCAAATCCAGCATTTTTGTTACCACCACTGTGGTAAGCATAATGGGACTCTTTGAAGTTGAATTTTTTCTCACCATGTACTGCTTGGCTGCCGCTAATACCACCAACCTGGCTGCCTACTCCATTTGATGATTGGCCTCCGAATCCACCCGACGATTGATCATTGTAACCCGCTGACTGACCGCCAAAGTTCCCTGAGGCTTGGTCATTAGAGTTTCCACCATATCCTCCAGCTGAGTTACCAAAGCTACCTGACGATTGAGAGCTAGAAGTGGATGAAGATTTGACTCCATATCCCGATGAGTGACCACCGTATCCTCCAGAAGAGTGGCCACCATAGCCGCCTGACGAATGACCTCCGTAACCTCCTGATGAATGGCCGCCATAACCACCTGATGAGTGTCCACCGTAACCTCCTGATGCGTGACCTCCGTAGCCACCAGACGAGTGGCCCCCGTAACCGCCAGAAGATTGAGAGTTTGATCCTGCAGACGATTGTTGACTAAAGCCACCAGAGGACTGAGCATTAGAACCAGCATTTGCACCACCAAATCCGCTGGCGCTTTCTGATTTTAAACCAGCGGAAGACTGGAAACCAGAATCGAATGCTTTAGAGCTAGAACCACTTGAACTTCCAGATGCAGAGCCACCAGCACCGTAGCCTCCTGCTGATTGTACTCCAATACCTATTCCACCAGATAATTGAGCAGACTGTTCTTTGGATTGATCCTCAAATCCCATGCCATGGGCTGCTCCACTAGAAGCCAGGGAGAATGCCTCGCCGGTGGCTTGACTGGCATCATCAGCAGCTGCAGCTGCGCCACTGAAGACTCCTCGTTGAGCTCCATCAGCAGCTAAGCCAGCCCATTGA